TTTTTAATGTTTAAATTCTCATCTCTAAACACCTCTATTAACAGCAGATTTGAGTTGTGACCATCCTCCTAATAAAAAATGAAATCTCTAAGATTGAGAAACATTTGTAAATAATGGATCCTTTAAATATCCCTGAACTTTATTCTAAAACTTATAAGGAGAAATAATAATTGCTTTATATAACCACTGATACCATTTTAGCATTTGATGAAGATGTTAATTTATGGTTGGTTAGCAGTTTATGGCTGTCATTAGTTTTTCAGTTTGGTCCACATTAGAAATCTATTTTTCTTTTTTATTTTAATTTGAGACAATTATATAAAGATATGGTTATGTTTTATCTGAAATGTATCATTCTACTATAGCATTTCAAATTATTCACAGATCATAGTTCTTATATGTGCATATATGAATTTAAAAATACAGCAATAAAATGCTTGAAACAGATCATAAATTTGCTTCATATTTTATTGCATCTCTGAATCAGGTTGAGAAGACAAGGGCAACTATGGTCTTTGGGAAAGAATTAACTCTTTCCCAAGCTTGGAAGGAGAATGATATCACATTGTGCATAATTAAATTCAACTCCTCATCAAAGCATCCTGGTGACTTGTAAGATAGGTTTGTCCATCATCTAAGTAGCAAGGGGGAGAAGGGGTAACTGTAAAATTTCTCTTTCTTTTTGCAGTCTAACCTTCCCAACCCAGTCATTTCTCTTCCAGAGTTCTCTAATCTGTTACTGTATTGCCCAAATTAGGGAACACTGAAGAAGGGAAGCAAAGAAAAGTGAGTCTCAGTCTCTCTCTCTCTCTCTCTCTCTCTCTCTCTCTCTCTCTCACACACACACACACACACACACACACTCACACACACATATTCAAGGGTATCTGATTATTTTGCAACAGCACAGAAAACTCTTCTGGATCATATTAAGGCTAGTAAGTTAGAAAAAGTGTCTGAATTTAACCTAATCAAACTTCAGGGAAGACCAGCAAAGAATACTTCCTGCCGTGTGGGAGATCAAGAATTGTTTGGGGGTTTTAACCTGGAGCATTTCAGCAGAACTCCCGGGTCCGGAGTGACAGCGCCTGCTCTTTAGAAACCTGACAGGTGTGCTTGAACCCACCCTGATGCGGGGTTCAGAGAACAGCCTAACCTTAATAATACTACCGGTAAAGAGTTCTAGGCAGAGCCCCCCTCAAGTTCGCGTTTTGTCCATGGAACTTGGAGGGTGGACAGCTATTGCGCCAGCAGGAGGTGGCCCGAAATTCCAGCGTAAGAGAAGCCTAGGAAGAAGGGGTGCCCTGCGGCGGCAGATCTGGTCTATTAGAGTCGCAGAGCGGAAAAACAGTGTGATGGGCATGCCTGTGGTGGGCATCTTTCAATTTATCTGCTACTCGGGGCTAGCAGGCCCACTTGAAGGCCGCTGTCTCCCTCCTCCACTTGGGTCGGGCGCCCAGCACAAACACTTGCCCAGATCCTGGGACCCAACAAGTTCCTGGTTATTCCGCACAGCCCCGTGGTTCTAGTAAACCCACGGAGAGACGGGAAGAGCCATAGATAGGGACCGGCGGACAAGACTGTCACCCCGAAAGCTGTTTCTACTCCTCAACTGAAGTTGTTGTCTCCTGATTTTCCCTCGTACTGTGCCTGAAGTTTGATTTAAAAGGCTGGGCTGAAATCAACCTGCAGCTCACTTGGCTTGGCAAATACTGGGACTTTCGAGTTACAAATGCCAACGCAGAGCTCACAGGAGACAGGCTGGATTATTTTGCCCACAAAACAACAACAAAAATTGTTCATTGATGTAAAGTTTCTTGGCACGTGGATAA